ACGATTTATACCCTTCGTTATAATACTTCACTATCCTGCTTTACCCTATCCATGCAGTCTCCTAACCCCATCCCCTGTTCGTCGCCATTGATCACCCATCATCTTCCGAAACCCTATCATAGTGATAAGGTTACTGCTCTATGCTATACTCTACAACTCATGCCTGCCCATATTTCCTCCGATGAATCCAATTCGTTTTATCGAAAATATGTGTGGTGTCTATCCCGACCATAAATTCTTCATAATCTCTCTCGTTGAAGGTGATACGAATTCCCTATATATTCCGTTGAATTCGTCTTCCGTTGGGATTCCGACGATCTTCTTTCTGCCCGACTTTGTCATTCTTTGAATTGGGGTCTGAGATTCATATTGACTTGATAAACATAAATGCGTGCGCTACGAGTTTTTTGCAATTTGCCAATTTGTGCAAAATTTGTTCAATGTGGGGTACTTTATACACCCAGTCGTATTTATCACGCGGTGACCTGTTGGAATATCAATGAACTACAAGGTTGCCCAAATTCCTCCTTGTTCCAGGTATGTAATTATATTTCACTTGTTTTTTAAACTTTTTGTTTGGCGTGAAAAAAAAAAAATTCATGGTTGCAGACCCGGTAATATATTTCTATGGCTCGTACATTTATTCTGTATACTTGCAGGAATACAAGCAGATATCCTTTTAATTCATTTTGCTGTTGTGCCGGGTATAAATTTATTTTTGTCTTCGTTTTTCAAAAATTCCAAGATGATTTGTCGTACGTTATTCTCTTTTTTATTTCAGAGATAAGCATGAAACGTCGATCGTGTTGTCTTCCACGGGTATTTCAAGAGTTCCACTTCTTTGCAGTACAATTTTATGACATCTGACAGGTCGTGTACGTTATATGTGTTTGCTCCCATTCTATGAAGAGTATCATGATCATCAATATTTTTATATGTAGAGAGCCCACACTCCTGCAATGACGAGCAGACAAAAAAGAGAGAGAGAGAGAGAGAGAGAGAGAGAGAGAGAGAGAGAGAGAGAGAGAGAGAGAGAGAGAGAGAGCACTTCCACCGATAGGATGAGAAAAATCGAATGAATCTACCACTAGAACATGGAAATATACACTGCCACAGTGTGTGTGTGTGTGTGTGAGAGAGAGAGAGAGAGAGAGAGAGAGAGAGAGAGAGAGAGCTTTCCATCAATACATGACGCTGCCCAACTTTGCAAAATGCCCCGGCAGTTGCCCAAGTGTTTGTAGGTGCAATTGGAAAAGGCCAAGCGAATTTGCACACCTGCCTGACAGGAGCATAACACAAACATGCCAGCCCAAAAGGCACTTTGCCCATATCTTATAGGGACATTTTGACATATATCTCAATTTATGGGGTTATTTGGCACATTGTAGAGTGAATTGTGACATGGTTTTTAGCATCCCTCCGGAGCAACCCCCAGATAACACTGGGAAGCGAGCCCTAGAAAATCCCCACCCTCGAAACTCTGCCCTAGAGCGCCCGGTCATTATGGCTGCATTTGAGGCAAGTCTGAGTCTAGGTACAGTGCAAATTATCGGATGTTCTAGACTAGTGAAGAGGGTAGAGAAATTTGTGACATGTTTCCCCCCCCCCCCCCGGAGTAAACCTCGGAAAACACTAGGAAGCCAACCCTAGAAAATCCCCACCCCCAAAATTCTACCGTAGAGCGACCTACTACCGTCTTAACCCCAACACAAAAGCACCCTTTTTTTTGGCTGTACCGGACCGGAAATATAGCTTTGATACATTCATTACCAGGGTGCGTTATGTTCGGCTGAAGAGGGGCAGTGAAGACGGTAGAGCAAGAATTGTGAAATATTTTTCTTCCCTCCGGATCAAACCCCACACAACACTAGANAGAGCAAGAATTGTGAAATATTTTTCTTCCCTCCGCACCAAACCCCACACAACACTAGAAAGCGAGCCCTAGAAAATCCTCACCCCCAAACCCCTACCCTAACCTGCTCCCCCCCCCCCCCCCCTGGAGGAAATCCGACCCCCAAAACCCCACCCCAACCCCCAATTGTGGCCCCAGCCGCTTCACAGCTAATGGGAGGGTGCCCCTCTCTATCCATGTGATGTGCAGAATCTACAGATTTTACAAATTTTATTATTCCACAGATTTTATCACTTTCCAGATTTCATCATTTTACAGATATTCTACAGATATTCCCAGATGCAATCCTGATCAATGAACTGCAGCCTATTACCGCTGATTGCAAACAAATCGAATGCTCGACAAATTCTGCTTGTTTTTTTTTTTTTTTCTACTTTCTAAGGCCTCGAATATGGCAGCCCTGAAGGGTGAAAAAAAAAGAGAAAAAAAAGGCAGCCTCACAACAGGAATCACATCCGGGATGCATCTGACTGCTTTCATGTCCACATTCGCCCTTGGCAACCCCGATCTGAGTACAACCGCTTACAATCCCGGCATACCACTTCCCACCACCGCCCCATGCTACAATCTTCACCTGGGGCTAGGTCCCACTTACACGAATTAAGCGATATTGACCGTAGATAGCAAGCAAAGATCAACGGCCAGAATCTCTTACTCGGTGCAAGTGGGACCTTGGCCCCGAATAAAGCGCCCGGTCATTATGGGTCTAGATACAGTGATAATGACCGGGCGTTCTATTCGGGTGCAGACAGCAGCCGATTTACACAAAATTGCACCGATACAGTTTCCCAAAACGAAGAGGAAATGGCAAAAAAAAAAACAGCCGCGGCATGCCACACACATGGGCCCAGATGGCCCCCTATGTGCACTTTTCATGCTCTTTCCTCATCATCTCGAGAAGAGAGGGGAAAAAAAAAAAAAGAAAAAAAAGATCGCTCCTCATCTGATCCGCTGTCAGATCCTGCGGCAATGAATCTTCCTGCGTTGCTTCCCAACCCCCGATGGTTGACGTCATAGTAAAGATTCAGGATGTCGCGCATGCCGCACGTGCCGTGACACCATGCCACACACTGCCGCACATGCCGCCGCTCATGTCCCGCTTGCCGTCCGTGACATCATGCTACACACTGCCGCACATCCCCTCGATCGTGCCGCCCCCTGCCCTGACACATCACGCCACACACTGCCGCACATAGCCCCGCTCTTCGCTGCGATTTTTCACGATCTTCCTCCTCCTGTGGTGCTCTTGCTTCCCAATCCCCGTACGTTGGCGTCATAAAGAACCTCCTCTACTCTCTTAAGATCGTACTTCGCCCCCTGGCGTGACATCATGCTACACACTGCCGCACATGCCGCCCCCTGGCGTGACATCACGCCACACACTGCCGCACATGGCCCCGCTCTTCGCTGCAATTTTTCACGATCCTCCTCCTCCTGTGGTGCTCTTGCTTCCCAACCCCCGTATGTTGACGTCATAAAGAACCTCCTCTACTCTCTTAAGATCGTACTTCAGTCCATCGAAGCGTTTGCGAAGCGCATCGTTCCTCAAGTTCAGCAATCGGAACGCGGCGTACAGGTCGTTAAGGAATTTGGAAACGCGCTCTGCAACCTCATACTCACCTAGTGTCACTCTATTTACGACGTATCTAGACAGTTCATTGGACAGCCCACAAATACCAATCAAGTAATCATCAAGATCGACGAAGAAAGAATCAGTCCTGACCACCTCTAATAATAGTAATTGGTCCTCCACGTCCTTGTGTTGCAAGAGCCCGCCAGTTTCCAGCCAATGAATGAAGGCCAGCAAGAAGACTACAGTCTGTGTCTGATGGCGCCAATGATCATGGTATCTATAGAACTGACCCTTAGAGTCGAGCAAAGTCGAAGCCAGCCTGACCATCATCGACTGCAGAGCAGGTACATTCTCCTTCGCTTTGGCTATGGCGGTCGGGACCTCGTTGGCGGGAAGATAGTGAACGGGAAGAAGGGCTGATTGAAATTGACGGACCGCGGTGTCCATATCGATCCCAATTTCGCGGAACTTGTCTCTTATCGCGTTGCTCTCCTCCAGCATAGAACTCAATTCTTGAAATTGGTTCAGAATTAACCACGCCGATGAAGTCGGGGATGGCGATTGGGATCGGGATGCCCATGACGATGCATCCGCCGCCGCCATTTGCACCCGGGCTTCCGTTCCCGAGCGGTCGATAGCCAAGCGGTCGCTAGCCGAGCGGTCGCTAGCCCAGCGGTCGCTAGCCGAGCGGTCGCTAGCCCAGCGGTCGCTAGCCGAGCGGTCGTTCGACGAGCAGAAGGAACTGGTGGCTGGGCGGTGTACACGTGGCACAATCCTCGCGCTTGGCGTCTTGTTCACTGGGTGACTGAATGGACGACGATGGTCAGACAACGTGCACACTTCTTTCCCGCCAATGGACACTGCAGTTGAAAATGAAAACACACACACACACACACACAAAAAAAAAAAAAAAAAAAAAAAAAAAAAACCGAAAAAAAAAAAAGAAAAAAGAAAAAAGAAAAAGAAACGGAAAGATCGGGAGGCAGAAGAAGAAGAAGAAGAAGAAGAAGACGACGGAGGGAAGAAAAGATACGCCGATGGGGGGAAAGAAAAAACGGCCATGCTCACAGATGTTAACATTTTTCGAATTTTCTTCATTTTACAATTTTTATCATTCTACAGATAAGATATTCCCAGATGCAATCCTGAATCCTGATCAATGAACCGCAGCCGATTACTGCTAAAAATTGCAAAGAAAGCGAATGCTCGACAAATTCTGCAATTTTTTTTATTTTTTTTTCCCCTCGTTTCTAAGGCGTTTTTCTTCTTCTTCTTCTTTTTTTTTTTTTTTAAAGGCCTCGAATATGGCAGGCCTGAAGGGTGAAAAAAAAAAAAGAGAAAAAAAGACAGCCTCACAACAGGAATCACATCCGGGATGCATCCGACTGCTTTGCTGTCCACATTCGCCCTCGGCAACCCCGATCTGAGTACAGCCGCTTACAATCCCCGCATACCACTTCCCACCGTCGCCCAATGTTTTACAATCTTCACCCGAGGGCGAATGTGGACATGAAAGCAGTCAGATGCAGTCAGACCCAAAATGCTGCACCCGAATAGAGCGCCCGGTCATTATGGGTCTAGATATACTGATAATGACCGGGCGTTCTATTCGGGTGCAGACGGCACCCGCTGTACACAAAATTACACCGAGATACAGTTTCCCAAAACGAGAAGGAAAAAAGGAAAAAGAAAAAGAAACGGCAAAAAAGAAAACAGCCGCGACATGCCACACACATGGGCCCAGATGGCCCCCCCCCTAGCTGCACTTTTCATGATCATTCCTCATCATCTCGAGAAGAGAGGGAACAAAAAAAAA